CCTAACTGACTGTGTTATTCCCTTCTTGAACAAAATCTGATGAGAGCTAGGTTCAAACAATGCTCATCCCCCTCTCTTCTTTCCCTCTGCTGTAATAGGATTTTGTGTCTTTTCCTGTAATGTGATTTACCCTTGTCTGCCTCCTCCATTCTCAGTACATTTTCTAAGATCAGACTAATCCACTTACTTGGATATTTAACCCACTTGATTAGATTCTTTTTTTATCATTACATCAAAGTCAACCAATATCCACCCCCTTTATGTATACTCCTTTAACATGGTGTGATAACAATACAGCTCTCAAGAGTTGCAAAAGTCATCTTCCCTTGTAGGGATGTAAACAGTCTGTCCTTATTAACAACATTTTGTATCTTTCTGTCCCATTTACCTTTTTATGTCTTTCTTGAATCTTGTACTTGAAGATCAGATTTTTTGTTGAGCTCCGGTCTTTTTATCAGGAAGATTTAGAAGTCCCCTATTTCATTGAATATCCATCTCCTCCCTTGAAAAATCATGCTCATTTTTGCTGGGTAGTTGATACTTGGCTGCAATCCAAGCTCCTTTTCCTTATGAAATATCATGTTCCACACTCTGAGGCCTTTTAATGTAGAACCTGCAAGGTCCTGTGTAATCCTGACTCTGGTTCCATGATATTTAAATTATTTCTTTCTGGCTGCTTGCAGCACCTTCTCTTTCATCTGGTAATTTTGGAATTTTTTCTATTATATTCCTTGGCGTTGTCAGTTTAGGATCTCTTTGAGGTGGTGAGCTGTGTATTCTTTCTATGGTTATTTTACCTTCTGGTTCTAGGACTTCAGGGCAGTTTTCCTTTATGATTTCCTGAAAGATACTGTCCAGGCTCTTTTTTTCAGCATGATTTTCAGGTAGTACAATGATTTTTAAATTATCTCTCCTGGATCGATTTTCCAGGTTGGTTGTTTTACTGATGAGTTATTTTATGTTTTCATCCATTTTTTCATTTTTTTGTTTCTGTTTGACTGATTCTTGCTCTTTCATTGAGTCATTAGTTTCATTTGTCCAATTCTAGTTTTTAACAGCTTGTTTTCTTCTGTTAGTTTTTGTACTTCCTTCTTCAGTTGGCCAATTGTATTTTTAAGGGATTTGTTTTCTTCAGTGTACTTTTTTTCCAGTTTGCCAATTGTGTTTTTTAGGGACTTGTTTTCTTCAGTGTACTTTTTTTCCAATTGGCCAATCGTATTTTTGAAGGACTCTTCTACCTCTCTTATTAGACCTTTAAAATCCTTCTTGAGCTCTTCTAAGAAGGCTTTTTGGGCTTCAGACCAGTTCATATTCCCTTTTGATGTTGCAGATGTAGGTTTGTTGACAATGTTGTCCTCTTCAGAATTTCTGTCTTGATCTCCACTCTTCTCATAATATGAATCTATGGCATGTTTCTTTTTACTCATGATTTCTTTATTCTCTGGTCTTTAAAGAGATTGAGCTTTCCTGCTGAGGAACAGAGGGCACTGACCCAAGCTTCTTGTGTTGGGAGCCTAGGTCTTGGTCACTGGTTTTGTGTGCTGGGGCCTCTTATGTTGGCAGTTGGAGGCTTAGGGTTTTGGCAGCTTTCCTCATGTTGGGCTGGAATCTGTATGACAGGAACTTTCAGGCAATTCTAGATTGCCTGCTTTTCCTTTCCTTTAGCTTTCTTCAGCTCCTTTTAGATGGGTGTTGCAGGGTGTTTTTCTGCCTGGGGCCCCTTGCAATGCTGCCTCCTCCCTTGTTTCTGCTACTGCACTGGGGGATTCCTTTGCAGTAGAGTGCCGAGGCACCTGAGGGTTTTCTGAGCTGGTTTCCACCAGTTCCCCTGCCCTCACTGAGGCTCTCAGAGGTCCAGGTGTTGGTGTTTGCCTGCTCTACCACCTGGGCAACTAATTGATTACAGTGTATATCTTGTTTTTAGAGAACAGAGGATGAAACATCATTACTCCAAATAGGGAAATAGTAAACTATGTGTATGGAGTCCTTCATATACTCTCAAACATAGTTGCTTTTTGCCTAATTCTTTTTTCTTCTGATAAGGAAAGTTTTGATGTGTCTATGGGTATATATTAAGAGATGAGTATGATGTAAAGAAAAAGCAAATAACATAAAGGCATCAATAAAAACAAATAAACTAAGGAAATGGTCAGAGGTTCTGAGGATCATGCTGCAACACTCTGAGGTTCAAATTTCCCAGAGATCACATTCTGTACCCAGTAAGTCAAATAAAAGGACTGAATAAAACATATTTCTCCATTGACTAGTTACTTCAGAGCTACTTTAAAAAATAGAATTTACTCATTTTTATTTTCTAAATTCCAAATTTCATAACTTGTTTCTTGTCTCTGAGGATGCATTTTCTTACCCACTTTTCCTTTGCCTATTCCAATTCAATCTAATCTAATCAAGCATTTATTTAAGAACCTACTAGAATGTGCAAGGTACCATGCTAGGCACTGGGAATACAAAGACAAACTATAAAGAGAGTTCCTATCCTCAAGGAGATACATTCTACATTGAAAATTCCCAGTTTACTATTGGTTTATACGTGGTTTTCCTGAAAATTTTGGTAGATGTAGATACAGAGCACCCAGAATAAAGATGATTGCATTTTAGTGGCTAATGTGGTGCTAAATTTTAAAGATTAAAATAAAAGATTTTAAAAATTAAGAAAAACTACATACAACCAAAATGAGCTTTGAAAAAAATTAGCTTATGGTCATTATAAAGTGCAGATCGCAGTCAACAAAGCAAAGTGGGGCCAGTTTTTAAAATTTTGTTTTATTTTATTTGTCCTAAAGCAGTTGTTTTATTAGTGTAAGGAATTAATACAAAGATTTTATTACTATAAATCACTTCATCAATGCAGGTCTACAGTTGTTTTACAATTTAGTCTTAGAAAAGCTACCTTGAGTATCAAGAAGTTAAATGACTTGCCCTGGCTCAGAGTCTCTTTGTATCAGAGACAGAACCTAAACTCAGGTGCATCCTGACTCAGAGACCAAGACATAGACCACTAAACCACATTACCTCTCTTATAGGCACTTAGCATACAACTAATATCTGGAGACCTGGAGAAAAATAATGATATCAAACTGGGAAGAATTGTGGCAATTTGTACATATCAAATTTAGAATTTCACCATAATAATAGCAGCACCATTTAGCGTAATTTTGTTTCTACTTTGTGGAATGTTACCTTTTCAGATACTATGACACCTATGTTTCCCACTTGATTTCCCAGATATCTTGAAAAGGTCACAGATTTTGTAAAAATCACCTTCCATTAATTTTGTCAGCTGTCTTATGAAATTCAACTCAACTCAATTCATTTCCTTTCATTTCAATACAAAAAGCATTTATGTAAAGCCTGCTATCATGCTAAACATTTAGTCTACAAAGACAGAATCAAAATGGTCTGCCCTCAAGGAGCTGATTTACTTTTAGTCAGAAGCAACATGGACACAGATAAACAAAAACAAAATATAAAGTAATTCCAGGAAAGAAAGGAAGTCCTAATAATGGGGGATCAAGAAAAATCTCATAAAGGAGGTAGTACTTGAGCTAGGCCTCTTGAAGGGAACTAAAGATTGCAAGAAGTAGAGGTGAAGAGAGAGATTGTTTCAGTAATGGGTAATAGCTGGTGCAAAGGAAGAGAAAGGTAGGAGATGGAATATCATGTATGGGAAATTGGAAATAGACTAGTTTGGTTGAAATGAAGAGTATATGAAAAAGAATTATGGGAAATAACCATAGAAAGACAAGTAGAATACTAGATTGTGAAGGGCTTTTAATGCCAGAAAGAGAAGTGTATATTTTTTCTTAGAAGAAACCACTGAAGCTTTTTGAGGCAAGGAGTAGCACTTTTAGATAGCTGTAATTCTGAGGACGTTTTTCTATGTCAAATCTAAATTTACCTTTTTACAACTTTCAGTCTCTGAGTGCCCCCAAACCCTTGGCCCATCTGAAATAGCGCCACAGCTAGCCCACTCTCAGTAGGCACCCTAGACAACCCATACATAGGACTGGACTAGAAGAATTAAAAAAAAACTTGGGTTCCAAGCTCTGGACCACATTTGTAATAGAAGAAAATTGGACTAAATGATCTCTAAGGTCTTTCTTCCCATTCTGTTCTTTTATGATCCTAATAGCAACTACCACAAATCCTAAGTCATTCTCAGATGTTTCCATGAAGAGGAAGTTTTCTGCTTACCAGATCATATTCATCTGGTCAGCAAGCATTTCTTAAGCTTCCATTTATTCCTAGTATAATGGGGACTCAGGCAGCTAGGTTGCATGATAGAGTACAGGGCCCAGAGTCAGGAAGACTCATCTTCCTGAGTTCAAATCTGTCCTCAGACACTTACTTGCTCTATGGCCTTGAGCAAGTCGCTTAACCCTGTTTGCCTCAGTTCTTCATTTGTAAAATCAACTGGAGAAGGGAATGCAAACCATTCTAGTATCTCTGCCAAGAAGGCCCCAAATGGAGTCATGTAGAGTCAGACATGACTGAGCAACTAAACAATAACAATGGGGAACTAGGCAATGAAGGTCTAGTTCATAGAACATGGGGTGGATATGTTCTTCCTAGTGGGTCATACAGAGTATAAACAATATTCTCTGCCTACTGCCAATCTAATATATAGAACTTTGGGAAGAGGGATTGTGGTGCAGATTCTGGCGAAGATTGTCTGAGGGGCTGGTTCTGTGTGGTGATAAGGAGTTTTTTAACTGGCTTCATAACCAAAATGACTAATAATGGAAGTGAACCAAAATTTGCAAACAAAAGGATCGATATGCCCCCTCCCTCAGTCCTTTTTTGCATTTTTTCTTTCCTAATGATGAGAAAAGGAAGAACTGCTGGAAGCCTCCCAGTGTTGGGAGGAGCTACATAGCAGTAGCTATGGTTGCCTTATCTTCCCACCCAGCTGCCATGTGTCAGGGAAAGCTTGGTGCCTCTGTTTCTTTTGTTTCATATTTATTCTTTCTTGATTATAGGTAAATGAGTATCTGAAGAACAAATTGACCATTTTATAATCTTGTGAGCTTTGAAAGGTTAAAAGAACCATTGGAAGACCAGCAACTGGAGTTGGTGAAAGAATCTATTGGCTATCACAGCAATTGAATGCAGTGCCAGCACAGAGGAGTGACCTGCTTGACCCAGACCAGCAGTGAATCTAGGTGGGATCTGAGACATCATGTCCTGAAAACAAGCAAACTACTCATCCACTGACTATGCCACCTCCAGAAGTGAACTTTGTGGGATCTCAGTGAAGAGAGAAAATAATTCTTAGGGCCAAGAAGTGCCCTTCCACATGCAGCTGGGGTGGGGGGATATTTTGTACCAACCACTTTAAGTTTGAGTCTATTCTGTCCAGGGATTGAGTGTGTGAAGAGAGGAGAGTGCGCCTCCCGGTTTACGTAAAATCATTGTACTTTTGCCCTTGCTGTATCTCCTCAGTAAATATTCCTTTGTTAAAGCTAAGTTATCATTTGGTCGAGTGATACTGGGGAACGCATCAGATAGGGTTTGTAAGTGCTAGTGTTAGGATACCTCAGCTATCTAGGGTTAGCCCTAGAGTTCTTAGGGAAATTTTGATCAACTACCTTCTTGGGATCATACTAGTTAATCCAGCCAGAACTGAGAGAATAAGCCCAGAAGGGTTGTTGCACCAGGCAGAATGAACAAATGAGCACTCATTAATCAACAAATATGTTCCAGGCTCTGTGCTGGCCACTGGGGATACAAATACAAAAAAAAACCATGAGATAGCCCTTCTTCCTGGAGGAGCTTATATTTTGATAGAGGAATATGACACGTATAGGATAGTATGTGCCATGAAAAGAAGCTTTGGCCTGAAGAATCATAAGAATTATGAGTGGAAATGCCAAAAGGCATCTATTCATCACACCCTTTCTAGTCAAAATGATAGCGCTGATTTTAGTGCAAGGGTAAGAGCTGGAAGGGGATGGAGAAGGTGGAAGGTAGATGCTATGATGCCCATGCTAGGTATTCTTTTCCTGGTGGATCGCTAGATAACATATGAACCATGGTCTAGAGTCAGAGACATGTAGTGGGATACCTGAATACTATGAGAAGAAAGCACAGTCTATGCACCCACATAACTTGTAGTACAGTACAGAAGACAAGACAAAGGATGTTCCTAATGTATTGGGAAGAAAAAAAGCACTTTATTGATCCATGCTAACTAAAAAATATAGGCAAATGGGTGGTAGTGTGCTAACTAGAAACCAATGTCAAGCATCTGTGATTTTTAAGGTAGAGGGTTACCAGTCAACACAGATCACAACCCAGCTATAATTTAGTAGCTAAGTCTCAGAGTTGCTTGAAATTCAGTAATACTAAGTGACTTCGCCATGAATTGACTTATAGTGTCAGAAACAAGATTTGACCTTGGGTCTTCCTGACTCTCAAATCTAGCATGTTGTTTAATAGAGCAAATCCTTTCAGAAGAGAAAGCTTCTTGGAGGTGGTAAATCTTAATTTAAGCTAGGAAGTGATAGGGGAGAGGGAATTGGAGATTGGCAGAGAGGAGGTAAGGGTGGAACCTCTTGCATCCTATGCATCTCTAATTTGGGTGAATTCCACAGATTTCTCTAATTTTAGTTACATGTTCTTGATTCTTAGCTAATGCTTTGAATTTAGAAGACATGTGGAGATGTGAAAAAAAAGTTGGGTGTGTATTGAGCATATTAATGTAATTTTTAAAACAATCAACCACTCTGTTACAGATGGTGGTAGTATGATTATGCTTAGCAAAGCATGGAATTGGAGAGCTAGATTATGCAATTCAACTCCCTCCTTTTCCTGAGAAGGAAACTAAAACCCAAAGTGAAGTGATCTGCCCATAGTCACACAGAAAGTTAGTACAGGAGCCAAGACCAGACTTCAGACCTCTGGTTTCCAATCAAGTGCCTTGCTGCTATCCCACATTGCCTCCCAATTCCAACTTTTCCCCTGTAACATAATATTTGCTCAACATTGAAATAATCATTGCTCCCACAGAACTCTCTAAGACTGTAATTTACAGCCAAGTTGCCAATCTGCATTGCCAGAGGAGTTTCCACAGAGGGAGTTCCTTACACTGATGAAATCACAGGTCTGAACCAAAAGACAATTCATATGCATGTAACACTTCATTGTTTTCAAAACACTCCCCACCACCACCACAACCACCATGACCACCACTATATCCTATGAGCTAGGTAGCACATGCATTATTGTGTCTGTATTGCAGCTGAAGAGACTGAGATTCTGAGAGATAAGGGACCAGCTGAAGGAAACTAAGTAAACAAGTGTCTGGGGCAAAATTTAAACCCAAGGTTGCTAACTTTGAGTCTAGTATTTTTGCCACTAAAGTGTACTTCCTCTGCTCTGGTGTAAGCTTCAGGGGGAAAATTGAAAGGATTGAACTGTTGTGTTTTTGGTTTTGGTCCTTATGTGTGTTTTCTTTGGGTATAGGAAAACACAAGGGCAGTTAAGAGTTGCAGTGGATAGAGTGCAGGGCCTAGAGTTGGGAAGACTCATCTCCTGAGTTCAAATCTGATCTCTTATTGTTCTTTGTTGTTCATCCTTTGAAGAGGACCAATAACCCCAAGAGAGTGAAGGCTTGACTTGCAACTGAATTGGATTTAAGTGAGGCAGGGCTGTGCAAAGTCATCAGCCTCCTTCTCTCCTCCAGAGCCATAGAAGTCCAGTGGCAAGACAGGTCAGGACAACTGGCGATGTCTTCAAAATGCAGTGGGAGAATTCACTTGCAAGTCAAGACATCCCCCCTCCTGATATCATTGGTCCTCTTTGAGAAGACATGGAGATATGAAAAAAAAAATTCAAAAACTTTTCCTCAAGTTTTCACTTTGTCTGGATGTCACTTTTGCCATTATCAAATTCAACCTTGCATTATACCTACACACACACACACACACACACACACACACGTATGTATATGTATACACACAGATATATATTTACATGTATATGTTTGCATCCCTTTGAGTAAAATACAGGCTCTTGAGAGCTAGGACTGGGTCATTATTTTTTATTTTTTGTCTCTTGCAGCTAACATAAGGCTTTTCACATACGCATGAAAGGAAGTATTTTTGCTTTAATTTAGATGGCAACTCCCTTCACCAAAGAAGGTCACAAGATAAGGTACACTGATATTAAGTGACTTGTCCAAGATCCTTCACAGGAAATATCTGAGGTAAGATTTGAATCCATATCTTCCTTATTCCAAGCTCTGCACATTATCCAATATGCTACATAGGATGCCAATTTCCTAAGTACATTTGAATTGAAACAGTGCTGAACCTGCAATCTGGCTTTGAATCCTAATTCTGATGCTTACTAGCTCAGACCTTAAAGCAACCTTGTGTAACCTTGAACCTATCATGCAAGCTCTCTGAGCCTCATCTGTAAAATGAGGATATTAATACTTTTACCATCTTGGGGATACAAAGACAAAGATGAAATCATCCTTAATTTCAAGAAGCTTACATTCTATAAACTAACTAGATAAAAAAACACCCACTTCTGACTACCTTCTCCTGTCTCATCTGTGCCCTAAGACTTCACCACGGTGTATCAAGAAGACATGGTGCCCCAAATGGAAAACCAGGACTTGAAACTCAGAGCCCCATCTATATATAATTAACTTCTGTCCTCACTACCTCAGTAGAATTGAATTCAACTAATATGTATTAAATTCTTTCTGTGTGCCTGACACTCTGCTACTTGAGGGATTTTTTTTTTCATCTTTGTACTCCTAGTATCTATCACAGGGCCTGGTATATGATAGGTACTTAATAAATGCTTGTCTTTGTTATTGTTATAGGTATTTTTTTCCCAATTAGTTCATAACTAGACACAGAATTTAGAAATTCCCCAGTAAAACTACCTTCCCTCTCTAGCTTGCCTCATATTCCTGCCATATTGAATAGTTTTGTTGCTGAGCCATCATCTCTGAACCAATAATCCCAACTTCTGGTCAGGATCTGTAACAAATTTTTACTGGTCTGCACAACCTTTATGACCAAGGACCTCACTTCATAAAACTTACGCACTTAAAAGATCAACTCTATTGCTTCTTCTCTTGCTTTTTCTCCTCCCTAGCTTTTAGCTCTGCTTCCTGAGCTTCTAAGAGCCACCTGGCAAGTACTAGTGAGGTCTGGGTGGGTAAGGGCAAAGAAACTAGGTTTTTAATCATTTTGAAGTGCTGGAGATTACTGATCCATTTCAATGAGGAAATACTTATCAAGACTTAAAACTTTATTTGTTAACCAAAGTCTCCCTGTTGTGAGGTTAAATTAGATAATGTATCATTTTGGTATTAATAATGGGTAATAAATACTGTTTTTCTACCCCAGTATGGAAACCAAGCCATAGATAGATATGTAGCTATCTATATAGACGTTTGATTTTGTGGGGAACACTTTATTTTCAATAACGTTTATGGGGCAGTGCTATGAGTCATTTATACATGTTTTTAAAATGTACTTTATATGCAGTTTAGGAAATAATTTTAAATTATATAAGAAAAGTTATTAAGCTGTTATGACTTTTTGACACTGAGGTCCCATACCTAGGCATGTTTCCCAGAGAGATAAAACATTGAAAAAACAGCCTGATATACAAAAGGTCCAATACATATCAAATGTAAATAATAGCACTTTTTGCCATTAGAAACAAAACTAGAAACAAAGTAGGTGCCCATTGATTAGGGAATGTTTGAAAAAAGTTGTAGTATACAAGTATGGTGAGCTACTTTTGTGCTACAAGAGATATGAATATAAGGAATTCAGAGAAACATGGGAAGAATGTAAGGTGAAATGATCAGAACCAGGAGAACAATATACGTAATGTCTACAAGTGTAAACAAAACCAACACTAGAGGGCACCTAACCTCTTGTTATTAGTAATAACTGATCTTATTAGTTTTGAATAACATTTGAAACGTGGTTCCCTGCACATGGTGGAGAGGTGGAGGGCTTTGCATACTCTGCCAACCTGAGTAAGTGTCTTGGTTTTGCTTATCTATCTATCTGTCTGTCTGTCTGTCTATTTATTTATTGTTATAAGGGAGAATTCAGTAGTGGGGTGGGGGACAAGAGGCATACAGGATCAGGAAAATGGATGCCACAAAAACAAATGGCATTAATAAAACTTAAAACAAATACAATCTTATAAAATGCAAATATAGATGAATCTTTTTTTGTCATCATAAAAAGAGCTATGTAAAACTAAAAGCAAGTATCATATGGAATGAGGATACACTAGAAGCTTTCTCAGTAAAAACAGGAATAAAGCAAGGATGCTCATTCTTCCCACAATTATTTGATATAGTTCTAGGAATTCTAGCAATACTAATTTAAAAAAAGAGAAAGAAATTGAAGGTATAAAGGCAGATAAAGAAAAAGGTGAAACTAACATCATGATTTGCTTAGAAAATTCTAGGGAATCAGCAAAGATGTTAATTGAGACAATTCATATCTTGAACAAAGTGCAGTGTACAAAATAAATCCATAAAAATCAACAGCATTTCTATACAATAATAACAAGAGGCAGTAATAGGGAAATCTCATTCTCAATAACTATAAAATACATAAAATATTTTTGAGATTAACCTACCAAAGCACAAAAAAAAATCTAAGGTAGATTTAGCTACAAAGTGCCCTTTAATAGAAATAAGGAACAATTTAAGTAGCAGGAATAATAGTAAATGCTCACATCTGGGCTGTGCTAATATAATAAAAATGATAATACTACAAAAATTAATTTACAACTTTAATGCTCTATTAATCAAATTATCAAAAAATATAATCTACAGAACTTGGCAAAACAATAACAAAGTTAATTTGGAGAAATAAAAGATCTGGTGTATCAGGGGAAATAATGTAAAAGGTGAGGATGAAGGAAGAATAGCACTTCCAGATCTCAAGCTATGTTCTAAAACAGCAGTTTTCAAAGTCATTTGATAGAGGTTGAAAAAAAAAGCTAATTCAATGGAACATACTAGGCAAGAGAGAATCAAAATGATGGAACTCAATAATCTTGTATTCAATAAACTATGAAACATAAATTACTTAGGAAAGAACTGTCTTTCTGATGAAAACTACTAAGAAAACTGGAAAGTGATCTGGAAGAAATTAGGTTCATGCTAACATCTTACCACATATTCTGCAACAAGTTCAAAATGGATACTCCTTAAAATTAAAGATTATACCATAAAAAATTAGAAGAGAAGCAGACCATATACTTTTGATAGCTATGAGTAGGAGGTGCATTCTTAATCAAGGAAGGGACAGAGGCAATCACAAAAAATTAGTCAGAGAACTGATTACATGAAACAGAAAAACTTCTACACAAATAAAATTAATGGAGATACAATAAGAAGAGAAGCTGTCACATGGGGGAAAAACTTTTGCATCAATTTCTCAGCTAAAGGTTTAGTATCCAAGATGTATGTATATATGCATATATAAATGCACATATGCATACATATGCATATATTCACATATTATTTACCTATAGATAGATACACATAAAACCAAAAAGCATTTCTCAACATATACAATTAATCAAACGTTATGAACAAGCAGTTCTCAAAGGAACTGTTGAAGATTATTAATAACTATATGAAAGAATGCTCCAAATCAGTAATAATAAAAGAAATGTAAATCGAAATAAACTTCAGAGAGGTTTCACCAACTGCCTAGCAAGTTGTCAAGAATGACAAAAGATGGGGATAGTCAATGTTGGAGGAAGTTATGAATCAATACAACCATTTTGGAAAGTAATTTGTAATTATGCAAATAAAGTGACCAAAATGTCTCCTCTTTGACCCAGAAATTCCACTATTAGGCTTATACATGAAGGAGATCATTGATAAGAAGAATGTCCTTATATATACCAATATATCTACAGCAACACTTTTTGTGGCAGTGGGAATTGGAAACAAAATAGATGTTGATCAATTGAGAAATGGCTAAGCAAACTGTGGTACATTAATATCATGGAATATTACTGTGCTGTAAAAAATGATGATTAAGATGAATACAGAGATTCATGGAAAGATCTTCATGAACTGATGCAGAGTAAAGTAAAGAGCCAAGAAAATCATATGCACAAATGGCTACATTAATGTAAATGGAAAGAACAACACCCACAAAACAGTCAAAAGTGAATGTTGTAAAATAACAGGGAAGCTGCATGGCCCTAAAGAAGAGAGTAGACATCTCCTCCACCCTGACTTCTTTACAGAAGTAGGAGGTGCATGGATCTGGATCACTGCATGTATTTTCAGACTTTTTTTTATATATTGATTGATTTTGCTGATTTTTCTCTTCCTCATTTTTTCTCTTTAAAATATTACTATGGGATGGCTCTCTGAAAATGGGGGAGTGGTGAGAGAGTAATACTGGGAGACATCATGATGGTATAAAAAAAGACAGCAACAAAATTTATTTTAAAACAAATAACATGCAGATACTCTGTAAAGAAAAATAAAATAAAGTTCAGATATGTTTTTTCAGGAAATTTGACAAGATATATGAAAATGTGAATTTGCAAAGTAACAAGTTAGAGGTTTGCTACTTGGATCTCAAGGGGATTCTTCACTATACAAAAGGATGCACTGCAGGGTTGCTTTACAGCTCATTAACTACATGTCAAAGAGACCGAGTTGCCAAGAAACTTAAAACTGAAGTGTTTAGAGCCATTGCCAACTAATGATCAGTCAAAACCAATGATGAAACATCTTTGAAATTATAATGGAAGTGGGTGGTAAAATAAGACTCAGTCTACAAAAATTCAATTTACACAATTTTGGGGGGGAGTGAAGCATATCTGTAACTACATTGAGATGTATCTTTAATAAGAATAGGTAGCATTTATATAGAACTTTAACACTTTACAAATGTTATTTCATTTGAAGCTCATCTTAAGTGCTATTATTATCCCCATTTTACAGATGAAGCTACTGAGAGAGGTCACCTGATTTGCCCAGGGTCACACAGCTAGTGTGTCCGAGGCAGAATTTTAGCACAGTTCTTCCTCAGTCAAGGTCCAGCACTCTGCCCACCGCACCATCTGGATGCCTAGGTTTTAAAAGTTGACCGCTCTTTGTTTTTGTGTAGACAGAGCCCAAATGTGAGAGCTCCATTGCATTAGTCCAGGTGAGAGGTGAAGCAGGACTAAAATAGGGTGGTAGCCGTGTGAGTGGAGAGAAGGGGGAGCATGGCAGAGACATGCAGGGAGAAATGACAAGTTTTGACAATTGATTGTATATATGAAGGGAATGAGGATTGAAACCACCTTGCTTCTCCTTCAGTTATCATGAAGGCCTCTACTCTAGGTCATAGAGCAAATGCAATAATATGTAAAAAGGTAGGAAGGGGTCAGGTGGTGAAGGGCTTTGAAAGCCAAACAGAGGGTTTTATATTTGATCCTGGAGGTTGTGGGGTGCCTCTCAAACCCCTCTGTACTTATCCTATCCACTATCATATAATTCGTGCTATAATCATTTGTGTATTTGCCTTGCTTCCCCTAGCATACAAAAAAAAACCCCTTGAAAATAGGGCCCCTATTTTGGTTCAGTTTTGTATCTCTTGCCCTCAAGGGAAAAAAAGCATTTCCCATAGTAATTGCTTAATAAATATTGGCTAAATTGAATTGTAAGCTGGTAAACAGAGCGTTCCATCTGGAATTCATGATTTTTTTCTACCAAATTTAAGAATGTGTCATATATGTTTGGTGGGATAGTAAAAGGGGAAGCTGCAACCTGGCTGTTTTTCAAAAGTTACAAGTTTTGAAAGCATTTAAAAAGATTACAAACCAGGAAAAAATGCTAGCAATCTTTCATTTCCATAGCACTTTACAATTTACAAAATGCTTTCCTCAAAATAGCCTGATGAGGCATCCAGTACTAGTATTGTCATTGCTATTTTACAAAGGAGGACGCTGGCTCAGAGTGAGCTAGGGCCTTGCCTATGGCCACATGTTGCCTCTTTCCAACACTTTTTTGCTAATTTCATTTCTAACTGACATTTTTTTTTTTACCAGATGTGAGGACCTGAGTAGGTTCTAGCACGTTGGATAACTGTGTCTATATTTCCTAAGGCAGAATAAAGGAAAAACATGTTGAAAGTCCTTAAGACTGTGGTAGAGGATCCAGGGTGCCAGACTTCAGATCAGAGGACCCAACTTTGGATTCTGTCTCTGCTATTTACTAGCTTGGTGTACAGTTATCCCTTCTACATCATGACTTTCCCCATAGTAGTTTTGATATATCATGGGTCGGTATAAGAAATTCAATAAGAATTTTTTGGGGGTTTTGCAGAGGCCACAGATGGCACAGAAAAGGTTTAGAAACACAGAAATGCGTAAAATATATGTATGATATTGTAAGATATCATTATATTTTATCTTCAAATACCATAATCATTTAGATTTCTTTTTTGGTACGAGGGAATGGCCAAAAATTTTGGTATGAATTTTCTTGGAAGGGGGAGGAAGGAAGTGGGGACAGCAAGAGGGGGGCACCACACTCGTAACCCCACAATGTGGAAGGGATAACTATGTTTAGCCAAAGGCACTTAATTTCTCTGAGACCATTTCCTATAAAATTAGGGGACTGAACTAGAAGCAGGAGCCTGGGATCTTAGTCTGAGGCCCATAGGCTTCACCATAGGCTTCATCAAGCTGACCGCCCAAGGGTTCCATGACACAGAAAATGTTCAGAACGCCTGGCCTAGACAATCCCTAAGGCCTCTTCTAGCTGCAAAATGCTATGCCTCCTAAATTAGCAGAAATGCCTGGTCTGAATCTATTAGTCCCTAGCAAAGGAAAAAAAAACACAACAACCATTATGCCTTGGACTGGTTACTGTGGCTTTTCTTGTTTAAACTCTCTAGGCTTTCATCATCTCATTTTCATTATTATCACCATCAAGTATTTACTGAAAAAACACTAACCAAGTTTCAGGCACTGTGAGCTAAGAATTTTGGCACTTAATCATACACTCTCCTATATTTGTCATCTGATTGTGTTATGTGTGTAAACCCTGCCTCCCTCCCAGGTCATATTATAAGCTCAGCGACGGAAGAGAATTAGATTTTGCTATTATTACAGTGCCTAGCACAAGGCTGGGCACATAGCATGGATCCAGTCATATCAAGGTGAACTAGAGACATTATTCTCCTACAAGCTTAACAATGACAGCTAACATATATATATATATATATATATATATATATATATGATTGTTATATATGTGATATGTGTGTATATATATATATGTGTGTGTGAAATATATATATATAATATATTATATATATATATATATATATATATATATATAAAAATGTTATTGAGTAATTTTTTAGTCACATCCAACTCTTCATGACCCTGTTTTAGTTTTCCTGAACTCCTGAGTCCTGGCTCACTCTATCCATAGCATATACATACATGGATATGGATATATATTATATATCTGTATATATGCACATGTACATATGTACACATATACACATATATACATACGTGTGTGTGTGTGTGTGTGTGTGTGTGTGTGTGTGTAGCAGCTAGGTGGCTCAGTGGATAGAGTGTCAGGCCTGAAGTCAGGAAGACTCATTTTCCTGTATTCAAATCTAGCCTCAGACACTTATTAGCTGTGTGACCCTGGGCAAGTCACTTCATCCTGCTTGCCTCAGTTTCCTCATCTGTAAAATGTGCTGGAGAAGGAAACAGCTAAACCACTCCAGTATCTCTGCCAAGAAATGGGGTCATGAAGTCAAACACCACTGAAAAAGGACTCAACAGCAACATATGTATGTATACATATGTAAATTTCATTTGGTCTTCACAACAACAACCCAGTGGGGATAGGTGCTATTATTATCTGCAAGAATGAGAGAGATTAAATGACTCATCCAGCACAACACAGTTAATAGGTGTTTAGGTTAAGTTTCAGACTCGAGTCTTTCTGAGTCCAAGTATAACCTCCATCCCTACTCTGCCCCCTAGTTATCTCTGAGCTGATATTCTTAAGTGTGTTAATGGGGAAAGAAGGTTGGATTCAGAGCCCAGGGACCTGGATTTGAGTCCTAATTCAAACACTTATTAGCTGTGTGATTATGAAAAAGTGGTTGAATGTCTTTGAACAGTTAGTGCTGTGAATCACTTACTGATAATCTTCATGAAGTTTAGTTTCACAGAATTGACAGAATGTGAAAGCCAGAAGAGACCCTGGTGACCATCTAGTCCAACTAACACCCCTCTCCCACCCTCACTATAACGTGCCCAGCAAGCCATCTCCAGCCTCAGCTTGAAGCCTTCCAGGGAGAGGGATTTCATCCCCCTCTTGGGGCAGACCATTCCACATTAGGACAGCTCTCATTGTTAGGAAATTTTACCTGACACCAAACTTAAACTGGCTTTCTTTCAATTTCCATGCATTGCTCCCAATTCTGTCCTCTGGGGCCAGACAGAACAATCCTCACCCATGCGACAGCCCTAAAGCTATTTGAATGTACCTCTCCTATGTCTCCTGAGCCTTTCTTCTCTCTTCCAGGATGAACACATTCAGATTATTTAACTGAACCTATGCCACGGAGTCAATGCCCTTTACCTACCTGTTTGCCCAGCTCTCCACACTCTCTAGCTCATCAATGTTCTTCTTACGTTGTGGTACCCAGAACTGAACACAACCCTCCAGCTGAGCTTTGATGAAGGCATGGTACAGCGGGACTATGAACAGCTAGATGGCGCAGTGGATAGAGTGCCAATCCTGGAGTCAGGAAGACCTGTGTTCAAAATCCAGCCTCAAACATTTACTAGCTCTGGGGCCCTGGGAAAGTCACTTAACCCTGTTTGCCTCAGTTGCCTCATCTGTCAAATGAGCTGGAGAAGGAGATGGCAAACCACTGCAGTATCTTTGCCAAGAAAATCTCAAATGGAGTCATGAAGAGTTGGACACAACTGAAATGACTGAACAACCACACAATGGGACTGTTACCTTTCTATTTTTGGATACTCTACCCCTTCTTAATGCAACCCAAGATTGAATTAATGTTTTTGGCAACCAGATCATACTGCTGACTCATACTGAGCTTACAATCCATTCGACCATGCCACCTTCTCCCCCAACTAGTGTTTTTTTCTTTCCTGAACAACTACTGACTATCAATGAAGTTGATTTTGTGTACCTAATGCAAGATTTTGCATTTATCCCTGTTGAATTCTAGCTCATTAGATGTGGCCCAATGCTCTCTCACTTGTCAAGATGGCCCTGGTTCTATGCTTCAATGTATTTGCTCTGCCTCCCAGTTCTGGGCTGTTTGAAAATGTGATGAATATCCCATCTCTGCCTTTATCCAAATCTTTGATCAAAATGTTAAATAGCACAGGGCCAATCACAGATCTTTGGGGTATTCCAATGGCTACCTCCTGTCATACTGAATTGATACCAGTGATCTGCCACTCTTTCAGTCTGCCCCACAAACCAATTCTCAATCAGTGTTCCTGCATGGATCATCTGATCCTTATTTCTCCATCTTTTTCATGAGAACAATAAGAAATGCTTCATTAGAAACTTTGCTAAAAGGATGCTTTCAGAAAAACTTACATGAACTGATGCAAAGTAAAGTGAGCAGAACCAGGAGAACATGGTACACAATAGCAGCAATATTGTACGATGATCAACTGTGAATGACAGCTATTCTCAACAAAACAAAGATCTAAGATAATTCTGAAGGACTTATGATGAAAAATGCTATCCATCTCCAGAAACAGAACTGATGGAGTCTGAATGCAGATCAAAACACACTTTAAAAAAAAACACTTTATTTTTTCTTGTTTGTTATTTTGGAGGGGGGTATGTTTTCTTTTGCAACATGAGCAATATGGAAACATGTTTTGCATGATTACACATGCATAATCTATCTCTAAATTCTTGTCAACTCAGGGATGGGGGGAGAAGGAAAGGAGGGAAAATTTGAAATTCACATTTTAAAAAAATGAAAGTTAAAAATTGTTTTTACATGTAATCTGAAAAAGATTTTTAAAAATTTTAAACAGAAACCTTGCTAAAATCTGGACAAAATATTTTGACAGCATTCCTGTCCTCTACTAACTTAGTAATCCTGTGAAAAAAAGAAGATGAGGTTATTCTGGCATGACCCATTCTTGATGAAGCATGATGACTGTAATGATGGACTTACTTTCTAGATAGTTACCAACCATCTTTTAAATAATTCTAGAATTTTCCCCAAAATTCAAATCAAGCTCATTGGCCTGTAGTCTGTTCTTTTCCTTCTTTGGAAACACCCCCCCACCTTCTGCAATTCTGCAGTATCTTTCCCATTTCCTATGATTTATCAAATATCAATGACAGTGCCTCAGCAATCACGTCTGTCAGTTCTTTTTAGGGTTAAAGTGCAATTCTTTTGGACCAAGTGGATGAAGTGATAAAGGGAATCTTGGTGCTCTCTTACAATTTCTTCTGTTATCTTGGGTATCACCTTGTTAGTCATTTTAGTTTTGTCATCGCCAGTGTAAATGCCATCTTCCTTTGCTGAGAAAACAGACACTGAATAACAAGTGAGCAGCTCTGCCTCAGTAGTGACCTTGGCCTGATGCCTTAGAATGGACAAGGAGTCGTGGAAGCAAGCAAGATGACTGAAGTATAGTATTATTACAATCCTTCACTCCTATGTTCTTAAACTGAGAGCCAGCCTTAGAACTGTTTAATATTTATGGAAAGCCCACAACATGCTGGATGTGGTACAGAACATACACATGACAGCAGCTGTCTTCTCTTCCTTCAAGAGCCACCCACACTTGCAGCCAGCATGAGCTGCTGGGGGAAGGCCTAGAGCCTGGCGGCGGGAGTTGAAAACACTGGCTAACAAAGCAGCCGTGTTTGGGGAATAGGAGCGTGTTGTGTTGTAGCTTTCAGGTGCATGAAACTTCTCCATAGGAAAATCCCACCAAAGGCCTTTTTTGACTTCTTTTTCCAACAGTCAACCATTTCATTTCCCTCACTCCACTTAATTGCTGCCCTCAGGCCAGCAATTGGTTGGGAACTTTGCTTACAATCAAACCCTGACCAAACTTCCTGTTTTTTTCCCCAGTGGTGCCTGCAAAGAGGATTACTGGTCCTATTAGCAATATACAATTGGAGAATGTGAAGAGTTGGAAGGAAGATACCTTATCTAGTCAAATTTCCTCATTTTATAGATGAGGATACTGAGAGCCAGAGAGACTCTTTGACAAGCTGACTCACTGATGATAATGAAGCTAAACAGTGGCAGAGCCCAAGTCTCCAGATTCCTACCCCAGTGCCCTTTCTATTACACCATATTGCCTCTCTTTTATTAATAAAAGCACAGCACTGGTCTCATTACAGCAAATCCCATTTATCTTAGGGAAACAATGACTTAACTAGAACAAAATAAATGCTAACTTCCTGCTGATCACCCCTGTGCTGTTCTGTTAATTTTTAGCCATGTTTTAAGAGCCATTGGAGAATCAGAGGGCTGGAAGGAACCCTGGGACTCCTTCTGACTTTGAGCAGGGTACTCTCACACCCCCAATCAATCAGCTGATTCTTCCAGCTCTCAGTCTATGTATTGAACATATGAAATTTATAGAGCACCATGCTAGGTGGAGTGTCTGAAGACAGAGGACATGCTCCCTGCCCTCTAAGAGCTTACAATCTAGTCATCTGTGAAACAACAATATATGATATTAAAATACTCCAATGGATCTGGATTTTATCCATATGGGCATTACCTCAACCATTGGGTATTCCCTTCAAAAAAGCAGATGACAATCTTGGAGACATCCTTAGCTCTTTGCTTTCATTAATCTGTCATATCCAAATCCGTGGCTGAGTCATATGAATTCTACCTGCATATCTCTCACATCCATCCTCTTCTCTCCACTCACATAAGATATCACCCTAGTTCATACCTTCATCATTTCTCATCTGTATTTTTGAAGTAGCCTCCCAGCTCTACCCTCTTCCAAACCATACCCCACATAGGTGCCAAAGTGACATTCCAAAGAGCATAGCTCTGACTATATCGCTCTTCTGTTTGAGCTCCCCATTGGCTCAAGAATAAAATATAAAATTTCTTTTTGGCATTTAAAGCCCTTCATAATTTGGCTCCAGTCTACTTTTCTAGCTTTATTACACATCATTCCCCTTTGTGCTCTCTACATTTCAGACAAACTGGCCTGCTTTCTGGTCCTCATACAGACATGATATCCTACTTCCTGTCTCTATTCTTTGCCCAGACTGTCCTCCAGGCCTGGAACACACTCTCTCCTCACCAACTGTCTTTATAACGCCATGCTTCTCCGGTCTATCATCTCTCTGCCAAGAAGTGGGAGTCATGCTTCAACAGTGTTCTGAAGTCATGCCTGGTCACTGATCTTATCAGGGTTCACAGTCTTTCCTGATATTACTGTGGCCATCAGATACATTCTGCTGGTTCTCAGTGGGGGCAGTCTCCAAGTTCTTCTGACATCCTGAGAATGCCTAGGATGCACATAGGAAATACATCCATTATCCTTCCCTCTCTCCAATAGGATAAACTCATCTTTTTCTATCATCCATTCTTTGGTGATATCATAGACACCACTTCTCCTGTAATCACATCTTTTATAATTTATAATAACTTTATAATTCCTTGTTTGTAATATATTTCAACATGCTCACACTCCCATGTGCCTCTCCTCAGCCCTTTGCTTGAATCTTAAGCTCAGTTTTTCAGAGACTGTATATTTCATGCTTTGCCACGTCACTGGAAGAATGTTGCTATTCAAAAAGATGGGCCTTCATTTCAAGGAAAAGCTCAGGGACTTTCACTTAACTTTCAATAATATGGGGCAAAATAGAACCATTGAGTCTGTTCCCACTAGGGAGTCTCAGAATGGTTCAGTGGACAGGGGATAAGGCGACAGCAACCAGGGGGTTCAGAGTGAGGCAGAAAATGAAGCTTATCTACAGTGAGGAGGTGTGCAAGATTCTGCTAGAAATCTCAAAGAGCCAAAAGCAAAGGGCTTGTGGGCAAGGTCTGGGCTAAGTGGCAGACACCTACCCCACAACATGCTCCTGCTGGTTGAAATTGTACATACCTTTTAAGATTGCTTCAATTTGTGTCAATTCAGCGTACACTTATTAAATGCATATTAGGAACCACATGTGCTAGACTATATACTAGGTGGCAAAAAAGATGAACTATGGCATAATTCCTACTCTCAAAGAGCTTACTCATCCAATAGGACAGATGCAATATATTCATCTGTGTATACAACATAATGGGTGACCCAGGACAAACCATTTAACCTCTCCTTGCTTACAGGCATGAATTGAAGGCAACTCTATAAGGGAAGGTAATAAATTGCTGAGCAGAGGTAAAACTGAATCAGCAGAGAATTTCCTTCTAGGGATTTCCTCACCTCAGTGAAATCACAGAACCAGTCTGCAAAAAACACTAAACTAACACAAACAAGTATAACAGAAGGGACACAATAATAAGAGCAAAGAAGCCTAGATGAAATGTTCTAAGACAATGTGAGCTAGGACAGATAGGTAACTTTCCATTCAAATTCTAGGTGGCCTGGCAGATAGAGTGGTGGACCTCCCTCAAGTCAAAAAGATCTGAACTCAGACACTTATTAGCTTTGGGGACCATGGACAAGTCACTTAACCTTTCTATGCCTTACTTTCCTCATCTGTAAAATGGGGATAATAATAGCACTTACCTTCCATGGCAGTTGTGAGGATCAAATGAGATAATATTTGTAGAGCTTGTTTT